ATAAAACAATTATAAAAATATAAAAACATAAAGAAGATAATATAATATATAAAATATGTTAAATAAATAAATATATATATATATATATATATATATATATATATATATATATATATATTTTTTTTTTTTTAGTATATTAATATATATATATATATATAATTATTTCATATTTTTTTTTTATATTTAATTATATAATGATATATTTTTAAAGATATTTTTAGAATCATATATATATTTTTTATTTATAATAGATAAAGATATTTTATTAATATTGCATTTATATATAATTATTTAATAATATATTTTGAATTTTTTTATTTATTTTATATTATATTTTTGATATCTAATATTTAATATATATTAATTATAAATTTATATTAATTTTTATTTAATACTTTTTTTATCAATAGATATATATTATTTAAATAAATAAATTCTAAATAAAAATAAAATTTTATATATATGTATTTTTATTTACATCACTTAAAAATTTATTTAATTGTAATATTTTAAAAATACAATTATTTTTATATAAATTATCATATTTATTATTATTATTAATATTATAATAATTTTTATATTATTACTTTTATTTTAATTATATATTTACTTATTTTATATAAAGATTTTATTTTTTATAACATATTTTTTTTTATTAAATAATATTTTATTTAATTACTTAATTTTTCTTTTTTTTATATATTATTTTAATTTATATTTATTTTTCTCACTTTTTTTTATTATATCAACATTTTATCTTCATTCATTTTAAATATTTAATTTTTAATTTCTTTATTTAATTATGATATTTTGTTTGATTTCTAATAAAATTATTATATAAAATAATTAATTATTTTTATTTAAAGATATTATTTTTATTTAATATAAAAGAATTTTTAAAAATTTAAAATGGTATCTTAAAAATAAATATATATATATATATTAAATAGTTAAATATTTAATTTTTAATTTATAAGAATAAAGAATAATATATAAATATATATATAAAAATATATTTAAATACATTTTTATATTTTTATTTATTATTTTTAATTTATATTTTTTAATTTTATTTTTAATCAAATCTAATTTATTATTTTTCTTTTTAACATATCTATTACCTAAATTTTTAATTTAAATACAGTATGATTATTTTGTTTTAATAATTTTTTATTTAAAGTATTTTTGAGTATTCATTAAAAGTTACTATTTTAATTCTATAATTATGTTCATTATATTAATATATATATAGTTTTCATTTTCTCAATTTTCTGTATAAATTTCTTTAATATATTTTTATTAAAATGTAATTAACATATTATTGTATTTACTTAATAAACATTGAATTTATTTGTTTTATTAATTTTCATGTTTATATTACAGATTGCTTTTGAAAAATCCGAGTCATAATCTAATAATGGTAAAAATAAATGTTAAATTATTCGCCAATTAAATTTATTTCGTATTAAAAATTAATATCAGTGTTATTTCTTTTATATGTTTTTGAAAAAAATGAGAAAGGATTCATAATATATATATATAAATTATTAATTTAAACCAAAAATAATTATTCTTGTCTTAATTATTAATTATATTCTTAAATTATAAAATTAATATTTTATTAATATTTTTTTTTTTTTTGGTTATATAAAAATATATATATAAACTACATATATATTAATTATTTTTTTTATTAAATATACTCTAAATATTTTCGCAAAAAGTAAAACAATAATATATATATTAATTTAACTATTTTTTTATAATTTTTTTTTTTTTAATTTAATCTAATTAAAAATAAAATTAAAAGAAATAAGATTTGTTGCATTGACAAATGGATTGGAAAAAAAAGTAAAAATAAAAAAAAAAATAAAGATAAAAAATAATAAAAAAAATTAGTCTGAATTAAAAAAAATCTTATCAGTATATAAATAATTAATGAAATTAAATAAAAAAATAAAAAATATTAGCTTAAGCAAAAAATATAAATAAAAAAATTTAAATAAACATTAAAAACAAGTAAATAAATAAAAAAAAAATTAAATTATTAAAGATAAAAAAAATTAGATAGATAAATATTAAAATTAAAAGCACAATTAAAAAATTGTAAAATAGTAAATAAATAAATATATATATATATATATTATATTTAATTTAGCTCGTTTTTTAAAATTAATATTTTTTTATAAATTATCCATTTTAAAAAGATATTTAAATATATATATTTTTATTTTATTTTTTTTCATTTAGTTTATTAGATAAAAGCATAATAAGTATTTTTTAATTAGATAATCTTTTATAAACTACAATTTATCATTTGTTTATATATCTCTTTATATTTATTAGTATGCTATTAACTATTGCTTATATCCTTTAATATATATTTACATAAATTTATAAATAAAATTTTATATAATATCAAGATATAATTAATATTAGTTTACTTTTTGAATCTGAAATATTTTATTTATTTTAAAATGTATATATGAAATTCGAATTCTTTAAAGATACATTTTTAATAATTTTTAAATGTTCTTAGGAATGCATAACATTTATTTTTTTATTAGAAAATACCCAATATTAAGGAAACATATGTTGTCCATGTTTTGATAGTAGTTTTTTTGATCAATTTTTAGTGTATATATACATATCCTGATATCATTTTGCTTATAAAAATACTTAAAAATGTGAATTATTTTATTAATATTGCTAAGGGTATATAGTGATTATTTCTTTCGATTGTTTAAAGTGTTAAAGTTACTATTTTGAAGTTAATTAGGTTAGTCAAAAAAGTTGTGTATTTTACTGCTAAGAAGGTTTTTATTTTATTCTTGAGTAAATTAAATTTTTACCTTGTCATCCAAATTGTAATTCTTGTGATGGGCCAAGAAATGATTAATGTGGGAGTAGTAAAGATTCGAAATTTAAGTTAAACTCAAGGTTTTTTATGCTGAAAATATAGCTTGTCTTGACGATGTTATGTCTGAAATTAATTTCTAAATAGATCCTTGGGAAGAGGGGCATTTTATAGGCTATTATATTATACAGAAAATTAAGAATATGCAAAATTTCATGGTGTTTGTTCCAAATGTGAGAATTCTAGTGTAAATAAATGCTATTAATGCACTAAATATTAGTAGGTTTAGTACTATTTTCAAATAGGTGATAAGGATATATTTTATAGATAATGTTTAAGCAGATGAATTAGTGGGTATTATATGGAATTTTTAGAGAATAAATTTGTGCGTTCTAAATTCGCAAACGGGTGTTTAGAATGTATAACTTTATGTACCAATCAAGTATGTTCAGAAAAATGTCCTTTAAATTTTTTTGCTAATGAATTGACTTAAAAATGCAAATAATGCGAATTACCTTGCGAAAGCTGCGAATTTTCGAAAAATAAATGTATTTAATAGGGGGGAAAATTAATTAATTTTATATAAAAATACTTGCATTTTTTCAAATATGTTTCATCAGAGGTTTTTTGTGGGAGTGCTTTTAAAAAAGCAATTAATGTGTTTGATATAAAAATGGTCTTTTTGCATTGAATTTTTAGTTTATAATTGAGTGCCCTTAAGGCTTTTTTAATGATTTTCTTTGTGTGCAAAAAAGTGTGTTTATATAAAAATTATTCAAATTAATGCTCTAAATATAAAATGGGCTATTTTTTTATAATAATTTATGTTTAGAAAAATGTCTAGGGGGAGGGGGGTTTTTGAAAATTCATAAGAGTAAAATTGCTCTAGTTGTAAAGGAGCAAAGAATGATTAGTGTACAGGGTGTATTTCATGTTTTTTTTTTAAAGGATAATAAGTTTAATGTTAGGGATATGTGCAGAAATGGGACTTATCCAGATTAAATTAAAAATTAATGTTTAAGTATTTTCTTTTTTTAATAAAATAAATCAAAAACATATATATTTTTTAGATTGTGATTAAAGTTGTAAAGAATGTTTTGGACCGACAAGAAGTTAATGTTCTGAATGTAATTCATAATTTTTTTTATATAAATATAAATTTACTGAATGTGCCGAATGTTCTTAAGGGTGAAATAATTGCTCAAGTGATGAAAGAAATGCTTTATTTGTAAAATGAGATTTTATCTTTTGCAAAATAATTGAATATAAAATAAAGAAATTAGAAATAAATCCATTTTGCTCTCTTTTTTTAAGATATAACAAATATAAAAATTAGTCGTATTTTTGTGTAAATAATTGGTATTTTCGGCTAAATAGTTTGTTTATTCATATTTTATATTAAATTAATATATATATGTATATATTTATATATATTCAATATATTTTTTATTTTTTTTCCTTTTAATTTCTATTTCAAACAATTTTTATTAAATCTATATATCAACTTATTAATTATATTGAGAGTTTTTTTTTTTTTTAAATATATTTATTAAAAATAAATATAATTTCAATTATAATAAGAATATCTATATATTTTATAAACAAAATTAAAATATAATAAAATAAAAATAAATTAATTTTAAATTATATATTTTATTAATAATTTTATAACTAGTATTTATAAATATTTTTTATATATTAATTTTTTTATTAATCAGTTTTCTTATTCACTTTATTATTATTGCGATATATGTCTTTTTATTTAAACATCATCTTCATATATTTATGTTTTAATTTTTTGCAACTCTTATAAATTTTTAATATATTTTTATTTATTAAAAATATTTTTATTATTCTATTTCTTATATTTTTTATTATTAATATTATTATAATTACAATTCTTTTTCTTATCAATATTTATTGCTTCAATTGTTTTCTATTATTTTAAAGCTTGCTGTAGTAATTCCGGAGTATCTTTTTCTTATGTATTATATTCTTCTACTGTTTATAAAGAATTTAATTAATTTTTAGAAATCACTTATTATTTTTATGCAAAGTAACTTATACTTCTAACCTTTATATTTATCGATTTTTCTTAATTATTTACTATAGTATTCTATTTTTCCAATTTATTTGCTTTTTTTCTATTTTACTTAACATAAAAGGCCAAAAAAACTATAAATATTATTGAAAGAGTCACTGTAGCGATTAAATACCCTTAATTTTTTATAAAATTTTATTTTTTTATTTCCTTATGTTTTTTTAAATACAATTATATAAAGTCCTAATAGACTACAGCAGAATTATTACATGTACACTTAACATAATTTTCTAAAACATCAGTATTCTTACATAATTTAAACTATTATGAATCCGCATCCTATAATTCTAAACAGACTAAATTTGATAAATTAGAAGCATTTTATATATCGAAAACAAATGTAATTTCCTAAACTAAAGGTAAGTAGGAAACATTATTCAATTACTATAAATTCCTATTATTTTTTTAAATTTCGAAAACCCTATATTCGACAAAAGGAAAAAATAGATTCTAATCTTCGAAAATATTGGTTGTGAAAACATGAGGATTATACTTACAAGCCATTTAAATAACTCTATATTTCTTATTTTAACTTTTTTTTGTAAAAAAAATATTCTAATAATCACCTCCCTATTCTTTTTCAATAAAATTCTTCTCTTCTACAAAGCTTAAATTAGGTAATTAATCCCCTTCTTAAGCAATAATTTGCATATTCGAGTTAATAAAACACGGCTATTCCTAATACTAAAGCATAATTATGGCTATATTTTATAATTCCTAAATACAATTGATAATTTCTTATTTATTAGTGAAATTCGGCGGATACTTAATAATATTACTAATTGAAAATAGCGAGTTTTCAAAAAGAATCTGAATTTAATAAAAACCTTCACCAGAAATTGGCGTAAACTTCAAAATTTCATAAATCCTATTAATATTACTCTTTATATTATTCTAAGATAACTCTGCGTTTTCGCTAATTAACTAAGGCATAATTTCCTAGGCTTTTTTATACCCAAAAGTATTTTAAATACTCTAATCTTCTAAATAAGCCCTATAAATACCTTTTATCACCATATCGTAAGTCTCCGATCCTAAATCTGAGCAATCCCATAGTTTAAAACCCTTTTCACATTCACACCTTTATTCTGAAAAATTACACTTTCCATTTCCATTACAAGCGCTTTCTGATTTCTAGTTATTTTTATCTGTGCACGTTTTTTTATTTAAGTCATCGATTTAGATCATAATCTAGAATAAAGAATATGGTTATAATCTAGTAAAAATACGCCCGCTTTAATATAAAATTTATTTTAAATTAAATTATCTCTATTTTGCCTTAAACTACATCGTCCCGGAAAATATTGGGAAGAAACTTTAACTATAACTCAATATGTAAAGTATAAACTAATTTCCTGCATGTAATAGAAAATCCTCATATTTTTATAAATATCCAGTTTCACTATTTAGTTTATAAATTTTTTCGTTTAAAAAATCCTTTTCTCTATCACAAAAAATTTCCACTTAATTTTTCAATAGAAAATGAATTTCATGCAAATTATTTATTTTTAAATTTTCCTTTATTTATTTTACCTCCAGATCATATTATTCCTTACTCTCGAATCCAAAAACACACAAATTCACTCCGTATTTTTACGGGTGGTCTCTTGGAACTTCCACGTGTATAGAAAAAATAGTTTCCAAGGCAAAACCTTCTAATACACTAGAAGTTAATGATATATCCGGTATACATTTGTTATAAAATGCGTTTTATATATAAAATTTATCACATTTCTTACATACAGTAGGCACCTCACATTCTATGCAGAATTAATCGATTAATTTAATACATAAAATACACTATGATTCAGCCACGTCATGCCCTTTCTATACCAAAATTCTATCTTTGGTACAACTACATGACATATTAACATTCGCATAATTATCTAAACATTTTTTACAGCCCTCAACGGCTCCACATAAGGCACATTTTTCATGAATAGTATTACATTTGATGCATTTTTATATACTTTAGGCTAAATCAACTAAATAATACTCGTCTTCATAACAACTCCTACATTTATTAATTTCCTAATCATAAAACAATGATTCCTCACACTCAATACACTGAAATCTTGCAGTGCATTTTTTACAATTATTCTCAAAAGTTCTACAAGAAATACACATTTCAGGCATTCCATCTTTAGCAGGTTAAATAAAATTACCTTCAAGGCATATACAGGAGTCGTTTTTTGGGTTAAAGTTTAAGGAAAAATTCTAATTGAGTTAAAATGTATCTTAACAAGTTAAACATTAGTCTGAACTTTTGCATGAAAAGCATCTATTTATAAACAAAGAGCATTCCCTGCATACATTATATAATAAAATTTCATTAGCGAAGCATTCTCGGCATATCCCATTGTCCATAGAGTGTTATTCATCGCAATATTCACAAGATTCATTATTACAAATTGCACAATTAAGGTATTTTTTATTACAAGGTTAGCATTTTCCTAATATTTCTAAATATTAATGTTTACATGTACATTCAAAATTAATTAAATTATAATTATTAGCACAACTTTCACAAAATCCAGTTTCCTCTTAACAAATAAGACAATTACTTGAACATTAATTGCATTTTTTAGACGCAAATGTATAATAATATCCCTATTTGCAATTTTAAAAGCAATTATCATTTTCATCTATTCTATATTAGATATTACATCTAAAACACTTCAACATATTACATTCCTAGCAATTTTAGAAAAAATCACTGCAGTCAATACACCTTTAATTCAATGGATTTACAACTTTCGAAATACTACAAATACAATCCGGTGCAATATACCCATCTATGCATGTATTTTTCACGCAAATACCAGTAGTATCTGCACATTCAGTACATCCTCTACATGGAAGGCATAATTTTTTTACTACATCATAATAATTTCCCAAAACGCAATTACCGCAAGTATTAGTATTTGAAAGTACCCTTAAACCCTCTGAACATTTAGTACATACATCCACTTGAGTACATTCTAGACAATTAGGAACCATTAAAGCACAAGGAATGCAGATTCCCAACTTTATTAAATTTACAGGAGTCTCGCAAGTACAAGTTCCTGTAGTAACATTTAAAGTGAATGAATTATCACAAGGACCAATACATAAACCGGTGTTATCTTCGCAATTCTAGCAATTAAAATCAGGACAATTTTAACATTATTTAAGAGTTGAATTATAGAATTATTTAGCGTCACAGGAAGAACAAGATGATATATTAGTTGTAGTATTATGTATTAATTTAAAAGGCAAAATACATGAAATACAGACTAAAGTTAGTGAACAAACTGAACAGTTCAAAGGACACATTGTACATGATAAATCTAAAATATTAACAACCCCGTTAATACACTAACATCCATAAATGTTTGGAGTATAATTAGGCAAAGAACAGGTCAAGCATTGAGTTTAGTTACAACTAGAACACAAAGAGGAAAATTTATCAACACAGTTTTTACATTATTTATCGACAAGATCAACAATTTGTAAATTACATTAGCATTAAAGTCCTACTTTTGTAAAATTATTTATACATGAAAAACATTCTGATGAATTACATCTTTCGCAATTTATATCACAATCTACACAGGTATCAGACACAGATAGATATTGATTAGACAAACAAGAAGAACATTAATTGTTTAGATTAAGAACAAAAGGATCTGTACAAGTTAAGCATTAAACAGAGTTTGTGGTAATATTTAATTAACATGTATAACCTATTATAATAAGTTAAATATATTAAAAATATTTATATATATTGATAGTAAAATTTTGTATTTTATAATATAAAAAAAAAAAATATTAAGTTAAAATAATAATTATAAATATAAAAAAATAATATAATTAAAATATAAACATATAAATAATTATATATAAATAAATGTAAAAGTAAAATTGTATATATATATATATACTTATATATAATACAATTATTTATTATAGATGAACATAAAGAACATTTTTCTGTATTTATTAATATTTATGTCTTATTAGATATATCGCAAACACATTATTATTAATCATTAAATATATATCCTTTATCACAATATATACATTATTTTTAGCTACAGTAAATACAATTTTAATATTTTTAAGAACAAATTATACAATTATTTTAATATAAAAAAAAACCATATGTACATAAATTACATTCAGTCTCTGTACATAAAAGACATTATGTGAATTTTGTAGAACATAATATACATTAATTTTAAAATAAAAAACCTTTTGAACAATAACATCCATTTGCTTTATTATATATATATTTATATATATATATATATATATATATATATATTTAATTTATATATATTTATATATATATTAATATATTTTATTTTTTTTATTTATATTTCTAATAATTTTTTATAAATTTAATATTATTTTTTATATATAAGTACTTTTTAATATTTATTCTTCATTTTAGCATTATAAACAATAATCTTTATTACATTTATTACAATTTTTAAATTAACTTTAGCAATCTTTACATTTTTTTTTTTCTGTGTCATAGAAATCTCCTTCATTTTAACATACACATTATTTTTAATATATAGAATAATGAAGATCATTTGATTCACATATACAAAAGTTTTCTTTTATACTTTTATTTATGCAATATTAATAATTTTATGTTCTTAGTTTTAATATAAATATTATATATAATAAATATTCGCATTTAAAAAACTATTTAATCATTTTTTTATGTTAATAATATTTTTACTTTTTTATTTATAAATTAAATATTTCTTTTCTGTTGTTTTTTTATAATTTAATATTTATTATGTTATTAATCTATATATGTATATTTTTTTAGTTAATTTTAAACTAGATTTATGTTTATTTTATAATTTTATTATGTTTTCAAGTTTTAAAAATAAATAATTAATATTTTATTATTTATTTTGTTAAATAAATCATGGTTTTTATTAATTTTTTAAAAACAAAATGTAAAAAAATAATTTATAATAATATATATTTAAAAATAAAAAATTTAATTAAAAAAATAATAAATTTAAAAATTATATTTAAAAATTTTGTTTAATAATAATATATTATATTTTTTTTTTAACAAAAAAAATAAATAAATAATTTATTTTTTTATTTTTAATATTAACTTATTTTAAAATATAAAATAATTAATGATTTTATTTTTATTTTACATTAATTAAGATTTTAAAATAGTTTCTTCTTTTTATTTTTTAATCATATTTACTAATAAAAATACTTTTGTAACTCTCCTTAACTAAATTATTATGAAGAAATATATAATAAATTATAAAATATATAACAAAATAAAATTATTATTTAAATAAAATATTAAATTATCAAAAAAATATAAAAAATATATTTATACTAAATATAATTAAAAAAATATTTATATAAATTTTTAAATATGTATAATAATATATTGTAATATTTATTTATAATATTTTTGTTTTAATTATTATTATTAATATTTTTATTAATCTTATATATATTAGTATTATTATTATTTTTAACATTTACATTTATATTAATAATATTATCTTTAAATTTTTATTATTTTTTTTATTTTAATATATTTTATTTTTAATATAATTTTTTTCAAATACTCCCTTTGATTTTTTATAGATTAATATTTCTATATTTTATTAAATATATTACTTATTATAATTTAACAATAAATAATTATTATCATTCAAAAATATTTTTTTCTTTACTTTATTAATTATTATTTTTAATTTTTATATTTTTAATTTAATGATGGAAAAAAAAATACTTAATCAAATAAACAATATAATTAATAAATATTTTTTATAATTATAATAATATTATATAAATCAAAAGAATTTTATAAAAAAAGAAATTTACTTATGCATAATATAAGTATTAACGTTAATTATTTTTAACAAAATTATTTTTTAAAATAATTAATAATATAAATTTATTAAAATCAAAAATTAATTAATTAAATATTAAGAAAGGCTAGAAAGGTTGAGAAAATTTAATGATTATTAATTGATATACTAATTTTGGTAATTTTAAATAATTATTTAATAAACATTTCGTTTATAAATAAAATATAATTATTAAAAATATATATATATAGTTATATTACAATCCACATTAAAATTCTATAAAATAAATATAAAATATAATATATTTACAAAAATTGTCTATATAATAAAATATTAAAACATGATATTTAGTATAGTAATGTTAATAAAAAAATTCTATAATAATTATATTAAACTAATCAAATAATTTAAATAAAAAAATAATATATTAAAAAAGATTTACAAAAAATAAATAATTAAAGATTAAATGATAAATTTTAATTATGAAAAAAAATAAAGAAAAATATAATAATTATATATATTATTTAAATATTAAAAAATAAAATTAAAAATTAATAAAATATAAAAAATAAAAGATAATAGAGGATATAAAATAAATATTTAATATATATATATATAT